TTAAGATGATAAAATTTCTATTTTAATATCATAAAATATATCAAAGAAAATTGTAGGTAACTTTAAGAGTAAATATTTTCAATGAAATTACCGTAACACGGGTTTGTAATATTTTCAATGAAAGTACCGTAACAGGGTTACTTAGGCCATTTTTGAAAACTTTTATTAAAATCTGTAACTTTTAAACAGTAAAGTAACGTTTTACTATTTTAAATAGTAAAACGTTACTTAACTGTTTAAAAGTTAAAAAGGTTTAATTAAACTTTTTAAAAATGGCCAAAGTAACCCCGCTAGCCAAAGTAACCCCAATGTCTTAATCATACCGTGTTACGGTATGATTAAGACATTGGAATTCTTAATATTGACTTTGCTCTTTTGCTAAATAAACTAGATTTTTAAATTTATGGTTATATAGCGTTCAAATTTATGGTTATATAGGGTTCTATATTATGGTCATAATATAGAAAAAATGTGGAACTAAAACTGGTCAAAGAAAATAACTCAAATAAGTTTTTTAGTTACGTAAATGAAAATCTAAACAACCCCTAAAAAATATATCTTCTCAATACCAATAGCAACTTTACTACTTGCAATGTTGAAATCGCGGAAGTGTTTCACAAACACTTTGGAAGTATTTTTACCGTAGATGACGGAAATTTGCTTAAAATAAATATTTTTGTTAGTGAACACATTAAGATAGATTTCGTAATTTTTTCAGCAAAAATAGTTCATTAAAAACTAAAACCTAGAACATCATTTGGACCTGACGGTATACCAAATATACTTTTAAAACATTTAGCACATACAATATGTTATCCGCTTTCAATAATAAGAGTTTTACGTTAAGGTCGTTACCAAAACAGTGTCTTCAAGCTTCGGTTTCCCCTATTTTTAATAATTGATCTACTTCAGATGCTAACAATTATAGATGTATCTCTCTCACATATATTAGCTGTTGCGTTATGGAAAGTATTATTAGTTCAATTATTGCTGATTATCTTAATATAAATAATCTAATAACACCTAATCAACACTGTTTTTTATTCAAAAGTTCTACGTGCACAAATCTTCTAGAGTCAACTAATGAGTGATATAAAGCTTTAGACAGCAATTTAATTACTGACGTGGTATACATTGATTTTCAAAAAGCATTTAACTCTATACCGGATCCAAAACTTTTGAAAAAACTTGCAATGTACGGCATAATAGATCACCTGCTTCATTGGATATCAGCATTTCTTTCTAACAGATATCAAAAGATTCTGGTTAGAAATTCGCTATCCAATCCGACCAGCATCCTTAGTGGAGTTCTACAGGGTAGCGTTTTGGGTCCGACGTTATTCTTGTTAAGTATTAATGATCTACTCTACGTAGTAAAAAATCTGAATTGTTCTCTAATGTTATATGCTCACAATATCAAGCTATATAGTTTATTTAAGGATGCCGACAGTCATAATATTGCTTTAGCCATTTATATAGTTTATCTCTGGTTAAAAAAATGGCATTTAAAAGTAGCCAATAATAGGTGCTTTACCCATAGAATAGAACCTGCTTCATTTTGTAAAGATATAAATTGCAACTATTAATTAGGAGATCATGATTTGATCTGGTCTAGAAACCCAAAAGATCTTGGTGTGACTATGGATTCTTACTTGAATTACAATAACCATATTTCAAATATCGTCCGCGCATCAAACATTTGAGGATATCTAATCCTTAAGTTTTTAAAAGTTGTGATCAACGTGTTATCGTTAAAGCCTACACTACCTATATAAGACCGATCTTAAAATATTGCTCTCCGCTTTGGTCGCCAAATCGCACTGAAATGAACAATACAGTGGAAAAAGTGCAAAAAAGTTTTACCAAGAGAATTACTAACCTAAATAACTTTTCATATTTAAATAGATTTAGAATTCTTGGTTTAGAACTACTAGAAATTCGTCGCCGTAAACAAGACATGATTACATGCTACAAAATTCTGAACAATTTAGTCGGCCTAAATAAATCCAATTTCTATTTATTTAACAAACGTATTTACACTTGAGGACATAGTTTTAAATTACGCAAACTAAAATGTAAACTCGATGTCCGTAAATAGTCTTTCTCACTAAGAGTTGTTAATATTTGGAATAACTTGCCGTCTGACGTCGTGAACGCCATGTATTAAGAACCACTATCATTCCAAAAGATGCTGTCATCCAACACATTCCATAATTTATCCTGTTATGTCACAACAGTTTAAGAAATTTTTCAGAGCAAATAACTGAAACACTCTATTACCTTCTATGCTCCAAATGGCAAAAGTGCACCAAGCATCCGCCCAGAATATAAAGACAGGGTAAAAAAGTGGATAATAGAATTTAAAAGCTAAAAAATCTTAAAAGCTAAAAAATCTGAATAAAAATATTTATTAATAGATTAGATATAAAACGAAATAAAAAGTTATACTTAATCATGTCTATTAAATTAAATTTAAAAAAACTGTTTATTGTTTTTTCAAATTTACTGCATAAAAGCTACTCTAATGTTGTAGGGATAAATAAAAGTTCTTGATACTTTGTAACTTCTGAAAAGTGAAACCGCTTATGATTCAATTAGAAATGACTTCCACAACATTATTTATATAATCTTTTGCCCTTTTTTAGAAATGGCAGATTATATTTTTTTTTAAAAAGAAGCGGCTTCAAGTATTATATATATATATATTTTTTTGTATTATATATATACTTTTTTTGTATTATATATATATATATATATATATATATATATATATATATATATATATATATATATATATATATATATATATATATATATATATATATATATATATAGTACCCGCAAAAAGTATTGCGACAAGTTAGTAATTTTGATCTTTGAAGAAAAAAATTAATTTAAAATAGTTACACTCATTTTATTGAAACCACCTTTTCTATTATAACGAGCAGTAATTCCTATATATATTAACGCATAATAAACTATTTCAATTCAGTATATTGGAGTCTTCATTCGTGTTTGGTTGCGTCACTCCTTTCAGCAAAACAGTCTATTTTTTGCATTTTCGTTGAAAGACGTCTATTTTCAAAAAACTTTTCAGTATAAAGTTCGGTAATCTTAAAAAAGAAGAAATTACCATCATTCTTCTAATGCATAAGGAGGTAAAAAAATACTTGGGACATAAGAAAGGAAATTAATCAATATCATTCGATGGTAGCAAGATGGTTGAAACGGTATTCGGCAGATCCGGAGCGCAAGACCCCCATCAGGAAAAAAACGTCTGGAAAACGATGGAAAACTACTAGGAGTGCAGATAAAATTGTAACGTGCAGTGGTTAATAATCTTTTTATTTTTGCACGCCAATTAAAGTTTGAGAATCCTGAATTGCTGGGAAACGTCTCTATTAAGACAGTGCAGCATAGGCTGCAAAAAGAGCTCGGATTGCTTTCGCGCCAATGTGCCAAAAAAACTTCTCAATACAGCCGCCATGAGGAAGAAACGACTTGATTTTGCTAAACGTTACGTGCATTGGGATATTGCCGATAGGAAAAAAGTAATATTTAGCGATGAGTCAAAGTTTGCAACGTTTTTAAGTCGTCGAATGAGCGTGTGTCGGCCCGCAGGCTGCAACCTTTGGAAAGTAATGAAGAACAAGGTACAACACCACGATATAGGATCGGTGAAGAAATTAACTGAATCTCTCATATTGACCTGGTACACGGAAATTAGCGAATAATTATGCAATAGGCTTGTTTCATCTATGTAAAATTGTCTGAACGGGAACATGATTAAATACTAAAACTTTTAAAGACCCTTTTTAGAGCCGCAATTTATTTTACAAAAAAAAGATAAAATCTGCAACTTGTTGCAATACTTTTTGCAGTTACTGTATGTATGTATATATGTATGTATATATATATATATATATATATATATATATATATATATATATATATATATATATATGTGTATATATATATATATATATATATATGTGTGTATTATATATATATATATATATATATATAAATATATATATAAAAATGAATGTATATATGTATATATACATTGTATATATACATAATGTATATATATATATATATATATATATATGTGTGTATATATATATATATATGTGTGTATATATATAATATATATATATATATATATATATATATATATATATATATATATATATATCAAAAGTAATACTATAATTCCACCAAAGAATAACCTGGGTTCAAGATATCAAGCGCTTATTCATTATTTTTAAAACGTTAAATTTTTTTTACTTTTGTTAATTTTTTTTTATTTCTTGTGAACACATTTTTTTTAAGTTTTTTATAAACATGTTTTGATCGAGTTTTTATTTTATTTGAATGTTTTTAACATTTCTTCACTTAAAAATACTGGAATGAAATTTTAGGCAACAATGTGAATATTTCTAAATAAAAAATTTTCTGTTATTTTTTTTTCTCCCTATAATTCCATGTAACGATTCGTCAAAATTTTCAAACTTTTTCAATCGTAAATATTTTAAAGTTTTATACAACTGGAAAAACTGAGTCACGGAAAAAGCGATAAACTAAATGAGTGTTTTAAAAGTACTGGGAAGGTGTATTTATAAAACTTCAACGATAACGATCGATTGCTTGAAAAATTTAAATTAAATGATACAAGTATGTCGTAAGAAAGCCTAACCACTCCCACCTCCACCGCATTACTAACGTTTTTCTGGAATCATTTATTTAAAACGTTGAGCTAATGACAACTTCCAGTTTCTTTCCAGTATATAAATTAAAAAAAAAAAAAAAAAAAAACTAAATTGCACTTAATAGAAATTTATATATATATATATATATATATATATATATATATATATATATATATATATATATATATATATATAAATAAAATAGTTTACACATATAAAGAAATTTATATATATATATAGAAATAACATTGAAGTATAATTTTTTCCAACAATAAATTTTCTTTTTAGCTCCGTGTTCAAATCCCCGCATCGAAATTAATAAAAGAAATTGTACGAAGATTAAACGATCAGAGAAGTTGAAGCAACAGACGCATGGCCATTAATCCAAAAAATAAAAAATTGAAATATTATAAATTAAATGTACACTTTTTAGAATAAGATGGTCTTTGTTACTCTGAGTTTAGCTGCATTTGTTTTGACTGGATTAGGAACATGTCTACTCTCGTGCGCATTATACGGACTAATGAAAAGATTGGGAGATTTGGAAAACGACATGAGAAGGCAAAATACAACATGGCGACGATCACAAGGGGCATAATTAATGTTAGACTAAAATGTTAGAATTGTTTTTATTTATGTAAATTTGTTTCAATAATTGTTTTTAAAATCGAGATTTCGCAATCTTTGTCATTAACAAATTTAGGTTACGTTATTATAAATAAAATTGCATTAACGAGGGATTAAATCCGTGTGATCTGTGACAAAAAACTTTAATTCATTAAGTATGATTTCTAATGCATGCTTATGCACCATTTCTAAATTTGTTTTTTCGGATACATCAAAATCGGCTAGAACATAACGAGTAACTTCATTAGGGTTTATTGGTCGACCAATACCAATCCTTAACCGTCGGAATTTCTAAAGAGATCAATAATAAAAAAATATAATGCAAATCTTTAGATAAAGCATAAACGCTAAAATGAGTAAAAAAGGGTTCAAAAAAAAAAGTAGTTTTTTTTTGCAACCCAAAATGCAATACTGTCTGTATTGTATATCTGCAATACTGCGATTTGCACCTCTATCTATATATGCAATACTGTGATCTGCACCTTTATCTACACCACTCTATCTCTACCACTTTGATCTATACCACAAACAAGTTTAAGTTAATATTAGTTGTTAAATATTAAAAAAAATTAGTCGAGTGTTGAGCAAATGTCTAAAAAGAACATCATTAATATAAAATTTAAAAAGACTACGTACATCAGTACCTAAACATGATATGATTGACTTGACGCCATTGTGTCCACTAAAAAATGAAAAATGTTCTATTAATAACTTAACACTTATTAGCCAAGTTTATACAATTTATAAATTTATATTGTAGTATAACGTTGCACATAAGCGCATATCGCATAGTATAAACGTATATAAAATATTTAGAAAAGATGTTGCATAAATTAAGTTTACGTATATCGAACGAATTGATGATAGATATAAAATTCTAATCAAAAATAAGAAACACTAAAACTAACTTTTAAAAAAAGCATTTGAAAAAATTACTTTTTTAATGGTTAACGTATCAATAAAAATTTAAGAACTCTTTTAACTGCTATATATGGATTCTTTTATGTACTACATACGGCCTTGCTATATTTATGCTCTTACCTGATAAATTTTTTTCTGCCTGTACGCGCTTAACAATAACGGTTGTTACTTAGGGTGTTCAAAAAAACACAATTTTTATCGAATAATTCTTTCAATAGGAATTATGACGCATTTTTCAACATTTGCTACCAAGTATGACGTGAATAAACACTAAATGACATATTTATGATTGTAAACTTGTTCTAGGGCAAAATATACATTTTGTGGGTATATCAAAATTTTCTATTTTAGGTGTTTTCAACATTTTCTGCCAATGATGAGCTGAATACCTGTTCTACGGTAAAATATATTTATAAAAATTTCAATATGGCTGCCAAAAAAGGAAATAATTCCAAGTTCACTCATAAGGGGTCATTGAGTTCTGTATCTGTATTTATATCTTTACATCCGAACATTGATTTGTTGGCGTCAGAACGTACATGTCGTTCCTCATTTATCTTGTTTTGGTATCGAGTCGAAAAGAAGATTGAATAGCAAGAACGCAGGGACAATGTCCTGCGTTCTTGCTATTCGATCTTCTTTTCGGTTTAATTTACTTACTGTTGTTTGATCAATGGTGGTTTGAATAGTGCCTTCCTGAGTAACTTTACGCTGACCGTGCAGGAATGCAAAATCTTTTCTCCATGTAGGAGAATGTGTTTATGACCTTGAGAATTTCTTCAATGCAGTAATTGGACTTTTCAATTGGAATATTAGTTGACTGCCAGTTGTTCCTAGCAATATCCTGTTTGGGTGTCTGGTAGTCCTTCTTCCTTATATCTCTCTATCTTTGTAATACTGCTCTATTAGTTGGTAACTTACTAGTGCTAAATGTAGCACGACATAGACTTCAATGAATGTCTTGCTGGGTGTACTGGTTTATGTAAGAAGTTTTCTTGGAGTAGGAGTTTTGGTAGTGTGGTTTTGGGGGAGTGGTGATATCTGTTAGACCGAGTGGGGTGCTTTCTTTGTCTTGTCGTCCAACTTAACCTGGTATCTTCTGTGGAAGATGACTTATTCAGCATTTGGTTTAGGTGGCCGCCCTCGTTTCCGCTTAGGAACTGGTTCTAACAATTCCCACGTATCTGGTTCCATCCTAATAGAAATACAGAGTATTGTGAGATAAATACATACCACAGGATCTTCTATAGTAAAAATCACTCCTAAAAAAGTCATTTGGCATTCTAGCAGAATAAGTGAAGCAGCTACCAACTGACGATTTGGCATGAATAAAGCCAGCAAGTAATGGTAATAATGTATTTAATCAGATTAAATTTACTTAAAACTGTTTCATAAATTTTTAAAATTTAAAAGTTTTTTTTCTTCTAAATACTTACTTATATAACATATTATGTGCTTTTCTCATCGCATACAGTAAATGTTAAAAATGATGAAAATAGGACTTTTTGGCAGTCATGATTAAAAACGGTCTCCGGCGGAGACTAAAAAAGTGAAAAAAATTCTGAAAAAAATCAGACATGTTCTCGGGTCCCAAGTGCATCATAATTCAAATTGTAAGAATTATTCGATGAAAATTGTGTTTTTTGAAATACCCTATTGTAACTTTAATTAGAAGCATACTTTACTTTATAAGAATTAAATTTTAGTTTCTCATATTCCTACCAATTGATAGTATCTAGTGCAACAGATGCAAAGAAAGAGGTTTTTATTACATCATTATATTACATATGATACAATAACCACAAAAGCATAAAAGTTCAGCTTACCCAGCACTTCCACATGTTTTCAGGCTCAATTTCCCTAAAGGTCTATCAAGATCATCATGTACAACAATTATATTTTCTACTTCTAGTCCCTTAACTAAAATGAAAAATGAAAAAAAACATTCTACTTCTAGTCCCTTAACTAAAATAAAAAAAAACAAAACCATCTAAAATCAAACACTAAAATATTTTTTGGATCATTACAAAAACCAAAGCAAAAAACTAAATCTAAAGGTTAATGTTTTCTTCTTCTTTTGAAACAAATAACTAGTCACACAAGAAAAGCTTACCAATTGCTTTTACACTCTTTCCGTTCATATTCATTGGATATTTCGATTTCAACATAATTATATCATTAGTAATATTACTTAACTGTGTTGTGTAGGCTTTATAATCAAAACTATACTTCCATGACAAATTATATTGTGATGCAATCTTATCGCAGATGCTCATTCCTATACTATGCCGGCTGTTGGGGTAAATGTAATTACCTAAACCTACAATCTTTATGGAAAATACATAAGAAGCAATATGTGGTATAACCCTATGCAAAAATACACAAAAAAAAAGTTTATGAAAGAAGTATTAGAATTTACATGTACTTAAAGAAAAATTATAAATTCAGAGAAAATACATTTGACATTTTTTTAATACTTTGTTTTATTATTAAAACCTTTTTTTTTCTAATTAAAAATTAATTTAGCATAACAAAATGAACTAATATTTTTAACGGTCTCAAAAATATTGTTTACAAATATTTTATTAACTTCTATTTTGAAGAAGATAAACCCTGAATATGCAAAGACATGTAATTTTAAGATGTCAAAGTTAAATAATATGTCATTGAGAACACTTTTACAATTTAAAATATATTAAAGAAAATATCGTTTCAAAATAAAAAGGAAATAAAAATTAAAACAAAAGTGTTTAACATTTTTTGTTTAACATTGCTTACAAATTGCTTACAAAATTAAAATTACTTACAAGAGATGACTTTTTCATTTTCATAAAAAAATTCTGTTCTTCATATACTCCACTATTCCTTTTTTTTTTTCTTCTCTTTATTCCTACGCTAGAATTTTCCCTCATATACAAGCTCTTTTACTGATTTTTAAGAAATTTTTTTACATAAAATTTAAATAAAAAAAGGACCAAATCTGTTAAAAGTGGCAAACGCCAATCATATCTGTCAGCAATTACAAAAGCCAAAAAAATCTGTCAGCTATTTCAAAAACCAATAAAATTCTTAAGATATTACAAAAACTAGTTAAGTGTATTAGATGTTGCAAAAACGACATGAAATTTGTAATAAAATATATTTTCTATGTGTTAAGACGATGACAAAAAACTGTAAAATAGCAATCTGTTGTAATTTCATTAACAACATTAATTTTCTAAAAAATATTTACAATATTTTTTGACGAAAAAGTAAAAGTAATTATATATATATATATATATATATATATATATATATATATATATATATATATATATATATATATATATATATATATATATATATATATATATATATATATATATATATATATATATATATATATATATATAATGAAAATCGCTTTAATTTTTTAAATAAAAAAAGACAACATGAAAAGAAAATAAAAGAACATAAAGATTTTACATAACTTAAATTGACATTGCAAGACATAAATACCTAAAAAAAACAACAAATAATTTAAATAACTATACCCTACAGCAACTTGGAAAAAATATAACTACTAATAAACAACAAAAAAACTAATACAATATCCTTAAAGTTAAAAAAAGATTTAGACTTGAACTGTTTTTGAAAATTATTCACTTCCAATCGTAATAAATGCAAGTTTTTGTGTGTTTCTTTGTGATCATTTGATAATTGTAATACCATTTCAACAAGCTTGGTGATTTGTTCAGTGAGTTGCGGTGACTCACAACTGTGAGTTGTACCAAGACTAGTCCTTAAAAAAAATTCAAGTCCTTAAAAAAAATTCAAGTCCTTAAAAAAATTTCAAGTCCTTAAAAAAATTTCAAGTCCTTAAAAAAATTTCAAGTCCTTAAAAAAAATTCAACTTGAAATGAAATTAAAATTTAATAAAATATATATTACCAAGTTTATAATACATGTTCTTAAGAACAGGCAGGTCCAGAAAAAAAGAAACCAACGTGGCTCAAAATCAAATAATAAATGTGAAAATTACAAATATTGAAAAAAATAAAAATAAAAAAAGGTCATGAAGAAAATTACGTGAGGGTATTTTTATAATCAAAGGACATTTCGATTATAAAAATATTTTATTTTTTTAATCAAAAAACATAGCATTAGATTTTTTGGGCATTAACAACTTGAAGAAGAATTCCAACAAGTTTTGACTTTTTAAGCAACATCAAAGTACAAGAACTTTTTAAATCCAAAATTTGTATTAACTTTTATCCATATTTATTTTTAAAATAAAACTAACTAAAACTTAATACATATTCAAAATTTTCAGCAGGAAAATTTTGAATTTTTTTTTTTAATATTGCCATAACAAAAAGATCATCAGTTGCAAATTACATGTGTCAAAATATTTACATTAAACATTTTTTTTAGATAAGTGAAACAAGTCAATCATTTTTATAGAAAAGTGAAACAAGTTTTTACATGGAACAGATATGAGAGAAACTGGTCAATAACACCTTTTAGTTAATGGTATCACTTTTTTAAATAATGGAGTGACATTTAAATTATACAATGCATAAGGAATCTTTATGATTCCTTATGTATCAGTGGATTGACATTGTCAGGTCCAGTTGCTTTATTTAGATTTTGGACGTTTGACAATCATTCAATAAATTAGCAAGATCTAAAAAAGTTAATAAATTGTGAATGATTTGAATGAACTGCATATGGTTCCGTGAATGATATTCAAGGTTTATTGGTCATTAATACAACAAATAATTTTTGTTTGTTTTGACAATTTTCGAATTTGGTATGCCATAATAATAAACCAAAGATTTCAATTTTTTTGAAATTTTTGTTTACACTTCTTGCTCCTGACATTTTGAAAGTTTTTGATCTTGAAAGTTTTGTATCTTTAAGCTGTGGTCAAGTCAAGGTGGATAAACAAATAATTAAGCTTAAATTTTAAACTAACTGAAAAAAAAACTTAAAGTTTTCAAATTGTTTTGCAGCTTAATGTATGATGCAATTAAATGTACCTGTATATAACCATAGCTACCATTAGTGTACTATACTCTTTATTATTATTAATGGGAGATATAATATACCAAGAACAAAGTCAATAGAATAAAATATTTAAGATTAAAACATCTACTATAAATACCTTCTTGAACCACCAGAACAACTTCCCTCAGGTTCTTTAATTAAAGGCAAATATTTGTTTGAGGATGCTGGTAATGCACTCTTAGACAAACTTACTGCATTTTTAACAATAGCTACTTGTCGAATAGTCTGTGTTCTTAAAATTCCTTGATATTCAAATTGAAGAAGATCATTATCTGGATCCCATGCACGCAAACTAAAATAACGATTTTTGTAATTATTTTAAAATTGAAAATAATACAACTCTTTAATTGCAAGGTATGTTACAGAGCTATGATACAGCTTAAATTACATAAGTTTTAACTTAAGTTAAAACATAACTACTAACTAATAAACAACATAAAATAGTATGAGAAAATTATGTCTTCAGAAATATATATACCAAACAACACATAGATACAACATTATTAAATAACAAAAATGTTTATATAGCAAGAATAAAATGTTAATTATTTCTCAAGTCTTACTTACTCTCTGTACTTATAAACCCATGAATATTCATTCATTGATTCAATGTCACGTTCAAAGTAGCGTGGAACCCATTCTTTATTATTTTCATGCAACTCTTTGTGGATTCGCCTTTGTTCATCTTCAAGCACCAGCTTTTCTCGAGTGGCTGCAGTCTAAAAATATTTTTAAACCAACTTGAAAAATAAAGAAAATAAACTACACCAGGTAATGAAATTTTATTAAAATTTTTTTTTTTTGTATACATGAAAATAAAAATGCAACAAAAATTTTACTACTATAATAAAATATTATTTTTTGGAGTAATAAGAGGTTACTAAATTCTAATGTGACCTTATTTTTGAGCTAACATTTCAGGATTTTGAAATACAGTTTTTTCAATCATATGCATTTATTAAAGACTAGAAAAAACAAAAACATCCCTCTAAAAGCCTAACATATATAGTTCTTTTAATGATTATAGCATGTCTGAAAAGTCCAATGTTTGAGTGTCTAGCCCTAATGGTAATTCATCCGAATAGTCTATTAGAGGATTTATATTTGTCAAAAAATCATGCTTCTTGGATTACATTTGAAAAAAAATATATATATATATATTTTCACTTGGCATACAACTTGGCATTTGTCTACCGAAATTAAGATCTAAATCTCTCAGCTTTCTACTCAATAAATCATCTCATTTGTTACTAATTTTTAAAGTAAGCCTAACATTCAGTATCTATACAGTTAATAGCACCCTTTCGTTGATTCTTCAAAGTATATTTTAAATACTGTTGAAAAATGATAGCACTTATCTATTCTGATTGCATATGCTATTGGATGAAGGAGAAACATGCAGTTTGAATGAAGGAGAACTATGCTGTTGAAATGATGGAGACCTATGCTGTTGGAATGAAGGAGAACCCTGCTGTTGAAATGAAGGCACATAAGAGCTTGCTGATGACTTACATATACTATGATATTCACAGCTGACAATACTCACAATATAGGTGATATTCACATAGGATGATCTGCAGCAATTTAAAAGCCATGCAGCTGAGGTATACAAAGCCTATGTGTTTCTTATGCCTTCGAAACAGTAGTGATAATTTCAGCCAATACAAAATGTTAAAAAAAGTTTACTCCTGGCTTGTTAACATTAAACATCTGCCTCTGGTTGATCCAACCAGCATTATTTGTCTTATGAAAAACTTTGTCAAGGTCATGAATAAAAATTTCAAAGGTTTTTAGTGTTTACACCATAAGTTCTAAGGATCAGTGAAGTCAAGTTGAGAGACTATTTCTAAGGATCAGTGAAGTCAAGTTGAGAGACTATTTGAATATTTTGTACTTGTCCACAGATTAGATGTTGTGTAAAGATTTTGAATTTGTATTAAGCAATATTAAACTTGTGGTCAAATAAATTATTTATTTGGCTGTCAATTAAGTTATTTATTTGGCTGCCAATTCAGTTATTTATTTGGCTGTCAACTAAATTATTTATTTGGCTGTCAATTAAGTTACTTATTTGGCTGTCAATTAAGTTATTTATTTGGCTGTCAATTAAGTTATTTATTTGGCTGTCAATTAAGTTATTTATTTGGCTGTCAATAAAGTTATATCAGTTATTATTGTTCAATTAAAAAACATAAATCAGAAAACTTTGTTTAAGTTATCAATGTGGGAAACATTCATCACTACTGTTCAATGGGATGTAGATTAGCGCGGGTCATTTTTTAAATTTTCCCAGTAAATGCTTAGGCCATATGATTTTTAAATGTTTTTGCCCTTATATAAAAGTAATTCGAAAAAAAAAAAAAAAAAATTATTTTTTGGTTTTCAAATTTTGACCTAAAAAATCGAGGTTTTGGGTAAAAAACACTGTATACGCGGTTTGCCACAACTTTTGCCTGGTTGCTCCAATTGACTCAAAAACATCTTTTATGGAATTCTCAATCATAAATACCCCTAATTAGACACCTAGATAGTCATTTTAGCTTAAAAACTTATAATTATAAAAGTTTACAACAATCGTTATTTTTGATATATTTTGCTGTAATATCTTCCATAACAATGTTACGTGAATGTAATGCAGCAAAACAGTTTCAAAGGATTTCTCAACCACAACGCAAGGCACAACCAATTAGAAACATGAAAATTAATTATTGTTTATAGCAGTATTTACCAATTTATCATTCACAGTGCAAGAGTAAACTTAATTATACTAAATATACAATAAATATAAACTTATAGCTTAAAAAAGCTTAAGCAAATTCTGTTTAGATTCTAAAACAGGAAGAAGTTCTCTGTGAACTATTTTTGCCTTTATAAACCCGTCTCGTCTTTCCTGTCCGTAAACTATATTAGAAGCTCTTGTAACTTCTTTCATAATTCTTTCTATGGATTGCCCATGTTCAGGAAATTCTGGAACTTCCATTGGGACTTCTAAAAACTTAATAAGTTCTTGCATGTGAGCAAAGATTCATAAATATCATTACTTCAATCAATTCGATAATAGTTTCTGCATTAGTATAAATATTTGGGATATTTCTTGGTCTAACAGCAGTAATTACAGGGAGCTCGAACTCCCTATTGAAAGTATTGTATTCACTGCAAACCTCCTCTACTCTTTATCTTTGCTGCATAGTAGTGCTTGTAGAATAGATTCACTATGAACATTCCAGGCAGAGGAGCAAACATAGGGCAAAACTGCTTGTTGAATACTTAAGTTCATTTTTCCGACAAGTTCCAGCTGTTTCATAATATGGTATGGTCCATTTATGTTTTACCTGAACATTAATAATACATTTTTCTAAAATAAATAGACAATTATCAAACTACATATAAACATTTCTTACTTTAATTTCAAACCATAATACAGAATATACACCAACACAAAACTGTACAAGGTGTTTTAAATTCTCAACATCGTTTTTATTTACTCAATGCTCTGAACACCTAATTCTTCAAAGCCTACTTGCCAAATTTAACCAGCGTGCGTTATTTTGGGGACCAACTTGAATTTCTTTCAAATTTTTGGGCATTATTCTAATTTCAATAGCCTTTGTTAATATCTAATAAATTAATTTATAATTATTGTGAATATTAATAAATTAATTTATTAATATTCACAATATCTAATAAATTAATTTCAGTATCTATATCTTGAATCACAGTGGAAATTATGAGATCATTGGCAATAGGAATAAGTTTACCAATATTGCCAGAAAACTTGTTATTTAAAGTTGTTTTCTCGTCAATAATTGACATTAAGTGCCTCAAGGGTAGTTCATTTGTGTGCAAAGCGCAAACTATCCAAATAAGTTTTGTTTGAAGATTTTTTTCTAAAAAATAAATGATACCTCCTTTCCAACCTAAAAAATAATTGCTTTTAAATGACATTTATTATCAAATGTTTACCTGTATTTATTATCAATCATTTACCTGTATTAAGTTTGGTAGAATCACAGCCTGCAGCAACTAGAGTTGATTCTACCCTGTGTTCAATAATCCATTTATATATATGTTCTGCTATGTGCTCTGCTGGGGTATTACACTCAGATCGGTTTTCTTTATCGTTTGTAAAATGGTACAGATATAAACCACCTGGCTCTGCAAAAACCGAAAAATGGTCTTCTTGAACAAGTCTGTGGTAACATTTTCCATCTTCTCTCATCAAAGAATATTTTGTCTCATCCTTTCTTCCATCAAATAAAATACATTGAACTCCATCTTTTACAACATTATCATTTTCAGATCTTAATTGTTTCATCACCTTCAATTTAGATCTTTCAATTTTCTTATGATCTGTTACTATTTCACTGTCAAACACTTTCTTTTTAAGAAAGCCTGCTTCTTTAGCTGCTTTCAGTGCTAATGTTGAAATAGCAGCAGTTGCTCAATTTGATACCCCATATCTTATTGATGCTAATGTAACTTCTTCCATATTCAATGTCTTTTTTGAAACTTGTCTACTAATGTACTCAAAACTATTGTCAGAAACAACATCTTCATTGTCAGAATTGGCAATATTATCAATTGTTTCTTTGATTTCATTTTCTTGAGAATGAAAAGATAGGTATTTTATTTTTTACATGCAAAAAGGTTTTCTCTAAAGTTAAAAACACCATTGTGTTTTCATTTTAGAAAAAAACCTTTTTGGATGTATCTTTAAGTTTTGCATTTGCTTTGCAGTTTTTATCTCTTCTTAGAAGCAGACCATACTTTATAACATCTCTTAATGTGGGTAACTCAGAATCTAAAAACTCACTTGCAAAACCAATCATAACACTAAGTTTGCAACTTTGACTATTTTTATGTGTTCGTTTAGCCATCAATAAAGAACTTAAAGTTATCAATAGTTTATAAACAATATTTATTGTAGATTTAACATGTCAACTCAAATGCAGCATTTAAAAAGCAGCAAATTTAGATGCTAATGCAACGGTTTAAAATGTGGCAATATAAATGCAGCAACTTATGGATGATATTTCATAAGTTTTTTCATATAACCTACTAAATAAATTTAAGTTTAACCAAAACATCTTATTGTAACTACGCAAGATATTCCAGCAAAATATATCAAAAATAACGATTTTTGTAAATTATAAGTTTTTAAGCTAAAATGACTATCTAGGTGTCTTATTAGAAGTATTTGGGATCGAGGATTCCATAAAAGATGTTTTTGAGTCAATCGGAGCAACCGGTCAAAAGTTGCGGCAAACCGCGTATGTAGCATTTTTTACCCAAAATCTTGATTTTTTAGGTCAGAATTTGAAAAACTAAAAAAAATATATATATTTTTTGATTACTTTTATATAAGGGTCAAAACATTTAAAAATCATATGACCTAAGCATTTACTGGAAAAAGTTGAAAAATGACCTGCCCTAATGTAGAACGTGTCCCAAACTCCACTTTTAATTTGAATTCTCATCTGGATTTCATTCTTTTATGACTTAAGTAATTTGAAAAACTTTAACAAAACAATGTTACATTATCTTAATGACAAAACCACTTTATAATAATTTCTTTTGTAACTAGAAAATTCTATGAAAAAATCCTAGAATTTTTTAAGAGGTAAGTTTGGGAATCAGAAATCTAAAACTACTGCAGAAAAATTATTGTTTCCTAGAGATATGTATTGCAAAAAAAAAAAAAAAAAAATACTTGATCAGCATTTTTAATAGCTTCAGAAACTTTCAGCCATAATTTTTCAGATTCGTACACTTCTTGTTCAGCAAGTGCAACATTATAGCACTTTAATCTTGACTGTTTCATTTCAGGTGTTGGAGAAAAAAAAAGCTTTGGCTTTGTTTCTTCATTTGATTGATTACTGCTATACTCATAAATGAATATTTCACTGTCCTAAAATAATAATATGAATAAACTTTAATTTTTAATTTTTTAATTTTTTTGTATTTAAATAATTTTTAAATAATTTTAAAATTTACTTATACTTTAATTACCTTAATATACAATGTTTATATTTTTGTCTTCCTCAAATGTTTATATATACTTATACAAAAATGTATACAAAATTCTTCAGAAAGTGAATTTTCATGGTTTTTCCAAATGCTACTGAAACTATTAGCCTTTGTATTTCCTGCATGTATAGATTTACAAATAGATCATTTATATGAATTAAAAAACTACCCTTACCCATTTTCCTTCAATTTTTGCAAGAACTGAATTTCCCATTCTAATTTTTCCTGACACATAATTGCATTCCCCACTTTTTTTCCAAAATGGCTATAAGAATATTATAAAATAAAGTCATCATCATCATCATCATCATCATCATCATCATCATCATCATCATCATCATCATCATCATCATCATCATCATCATCATCATCATCATCATCATCACCATCATCATCACCATCATTATCATCATCATCATCATCATCATCATCATCATCATCATCATCATCATCATCATCATCATCATCATCATCATCATCATCATCATCATCTGTAAAAGTAAATAAAAGTCATTGTCATACCTTAAGTTTAAACTCAATTTCAGCAACATATCCTGTCTTTTCGCATTTAATTTGAACAATTCCACCATACTCAGCAGTTAATGAGCCAATCAAAATTCCTAAATAAAAAGATACCTCCAAATAATACATTTATACAAAAAATTGTTTATTTATACTCATACAAACCATAATACTTGATCAGTCCTTGGAATAAGAGTCGGCATTCGGCTGCCAACCTAAAAGTGTCTGAGGTCAGCAATTTATTTTTACGATCAGTTATGAGTATAGATATATAAATTTTACAATTTAATGTATAACTTTATTAACATAATTAGTTGACTATTTTATTTACAAATGTTCATTAAACTGTTTACTTTTATTCATTTTCTTTTTATTAGAAAAAGTAAGTTTATTTATTATTATTACTTTTATTATTTTTTCTTTTGAGAATTTAACTTTTTAATGTTTTTATATTTATACAATATCTGTGGTTTTACATTTTAAATCATGACAATAAATTGAAAGAGCAAGCTTTGCAACAACAAAAAATTACAGAGCCACCCACTTATAGATTTACATTACAAGTGCATTTTAACATAAAAAACACACATAACCTGCTTTTTAAATGAATGGTTTTATCCTGTATATCAAACACTATTTTATTTGGCCTCTCTGATCTGGAGCTTAAGTCAACTTTTTCAACATCACCAATCCTTTTACCTCAAAAGTTCAGAAACTTTAGAAATACTTAATCCAACAACTAATTAATAATTCTATCAATCTTTATGCAGATATTTACCTCCATCCTAATATTGCTTTTCTTCCATTTCAAATTAATGTCTAATCCTAATAGTACAATACACCTACAGTGAAATGGTAAAAGGAATTACTGAGTCCTATTTATATATAGATTTGAATACACAGATTTAACATCTTGTTGAATAGTCAAAAAAAGTTACATCCTAATCTTAACTAATCATCTCTTAACTACATAACACCATGATTGGTTGGTGATATGTAGCCAAGTGTTTGAACGATTTTAAATTGAGTTTTCTCAAAAACTGCTTAATCAATAATAATGATTTTTTTAAATGATGCTTACATAAATAGTTTTTTGTCAGTGGGTGTCAGTGGGTGTAGTTTTATTTACTTCTAGTAAGAGTTTTCAAAAAGGAAAACCTGAAAGCATATTACAATAAAAAATACCAAAAAGGTTGCTTGATGGAGAAATTAAGACAAAACAAAAAAAAACAAAAAAAAAATTGAGAATATTTCATTACTCTCTTAGCTAATTTTTCAAATTTTTACACCAACAAGTATGTTAACAACCATTATATGTTACAATAATTTTGTTAACAAGTATTATATATTAAAATAATTTTGTTAAACCAACTAGAATTATATGTTAACAAGTATTATATGTAAAAATAATTTTGTTAAAAATATTATATGTTAAAATAATTTTGTTAAAAGAATTATATATAAAAATAATTTTGTTAAAAGTATTGTGTGTGAGATTGTTAGGATGTTATTTATCAGTTTTTTTAATTTTTATTTACTTTTGTTGAAGTCTTTTGTCATGCTATTGAAAACAGCTTTTTGCTTAAAAATTATTTGTTAGTTAAAAAGTTTTTCTAAACCACAATAGTAATGTTTAAACAAGCATTTTAGTTTAACAAATAATTTTGCATTTCATTAATAGAGTAAAACAAAAATTAGTATACATAAAACAAAATCCATAACTTTAAAACTACCAAAAATACAGATCTTATTTTAGCAAGCATTTGTTTAACAAATAATTTAAAAAAACTACATCATATAAATCACCTTGTAATTATTAAAATTGTAATATTTAAAGAATTTCTTGTTTTAAAATTTAATTTCAAATTAAACTTGGTATATATTAAATATAATATCAATAAAGTATTTATAATATCTGGATTATCTATTGTTAAGTTACTTTATATTAGTTAAATATTTTTCAACACAAAATATTGTTTTAGCAATTGTTGCACAATAAAAATTATCCAATGATTTTTCCACATTTGCAAAATTTATTTACTGATTTTTTTATGTTCCCCTAAACATTTGACCTTTATTTTAAATATATTAATATCATTACATATTTTAAGCAATAATGTAAATGCCAGCTCTTTTTTTAAAAATCAAGTTTAGGCTTTTTGGATCCAGCACGCCACTGACAGTAGTATGTTAGTATCATCAGCAAAATAATAAGCAATTTTAAGAAGTAATAAGATCATTAAAAAAAATAATAAGAAAGAGTTCCTACAACTAAACATTGTGGGATGCCACATTTGAGCAATATTTCAAAAAAGATTTATTGGCATTAATAAAAACAGTGTTCTGTGGATAAAATGAACCTTAAAAGTATATTTAGTCTCAAAATCAATGATAATGTCAACTCAGATTTTAACGCTATTACTCATAAATTTAATAATAATTTGTGAAATAAGGTATAAAATCTCATAAAAGGATATTTTTGACAATAACAAATATCTTGGTCCAAAAAGTCACTGTACATATCTTTTTATATTCCTCAAATAACATCCAAATCTCTAATCTCTATGAATAACACTTTCAAAAATTTCCAGTTTTTAACATATCCAAAAAAAGTAACTCCTATACTCAAAATTTTAATGTACACAAACTTATACACAAAATTTTTTTTTTTTAGGGACTACTCCAATTATATAGACCTTTGCCTCTTCTTTCCAACTTAAGTAAACTGCTTGAAAAAATGTTCCAAAATTGAAGACTATAATTTTTGGGAGAAATATAAATGTCTTTACAAACACTAATATGACTTTTGTAACAAACAATCATCAACTCCTGCATTAATAAAAACAACAAGTTATCTGTGGAGATATGAAATGAAACTTAATATTAATAGTTTAATATTAATAGAAAGAGTCTCTGAATTTCTAATCTCTAAAAATTGCTTAATATTAATAATATTAATAGAAAATTAATATTACTAACAAAATAATATTACTAAACAACAGAAAAGAAATAATAGAAATAAACAGAAAAGATTAGACAAGTCCTTGACAATACACTTTGTTGAGTGCATCATCAACCCTAAGTTACATTTTTATTACAAGTAATGCTTTAATGGTAATCTATTAAAAACCTTTAACATGTGCATATGGCATATTCACTGTATACTCTTCGCCTCTATTTAAAAGTCTTAACTTAGCTATTCCATCCAATATGGCTGATGTAGAGTTTCCTATTAATTTAAGCAAAAATTAATACAAAATTAAATTTTGAATAGATAAAAAAAGGAACAAAAAAAAAAAAAAAAAGATTTATTAAAACAGTAATGTAATTATAAAAACAAATAACCATAATATTATCCCTTAAAAAATTAAATGTATTACCCCATACCGTAAAACTTTGATCGAGCAAGAATTGAACCACCTATTGTGTAACCATCTTTTCTGTTTGAGCAATAAAAAGCAGAAACAGGTGGATGATGTGACACTTGTTCAGCTATGAAAAAAGTACGAGATGAACTTTTTTCATCTTTCCACATACAGCGAAACATTTCCCCAATTATAGGATTGTAGGGCTTTTTTAAACCCTAAAAAAATTTTTTCAAATATTTTTACTTTTTATATCAAGCCCTACAAAAGTGTTTAATTTTTCAAATATTTTTATTTTAAATTCTACAAAAATTAAGTTTATATTAAACTTTTTTTATTAGTAGTATATTGTAAATTGGTCTTGTTCTTTGATTGGTTTTCTGCATTGTACTTAACCAAAGTATGATGCAATGACAAATGACAGTGTGATGCTTTTTGCATCACACTTAGTCATTCATTAGTCATTTTCCTGTTAAAAATTATTTTATTTATTAATTATAAAATAGGCATATTAACAGCATTATATATTATATTATAGAATTATCAAAAGCATTTGTTTTAGTTCACCAACCGCTGCAAACCCTAAGCTTGTTCTAAATAATAAAAAAAAAAAAATGAAGATTCAAGGAACTCTATATTTCACTAAATAGTTTTTGTCACTATTAAACTTTTAAAAATCAATTAGCATTAACCATTAATAAAGTTGTAAATTAAGAATTGGCACCTTATTTAAAAATATAGTTAACATAACTTCCAGAATCATACATCATTCATATTTAGAATATTATTAAGTATTATGTATTACCTTTGGCTTTTTATAAAATCCAGACAAATACCACCTAACAACTTCCTTCATTCGGCTATAAGGGTTTTCATCGTTTGCTGCCCTGTTTACATATAAAGGATATTCACATTAAATATTTATATACAAAATAAATAAATAAAAAAGTCCCTAAATAAAACTTTACATTAAATAGTAATTAAAAAAATTTAGGTGGTTTATTTGTTCAATTATATATTTTAGATTGCAAAAATATTGAGAAACATCAGCAAAAAATTCATTTTATATATATTATCTCAATAGTGTGTTGTACTATACAAAAATGGTAGTAAATTTTAACTTTATTTTTTCGTTTAAAATTTAATGCCAGTTCACAAAAAACCGCTGGTCAAATGATCTTTATTAGTCTGGCTTTCATGATTTTAAAAATTCATCTTTATTTGCTATTTAAATCAAAATAAATAAGCAAAAAGAATAAATTCTAAATGTAGTAATTTTAAAAAAAAACCAGCAAAAAGAACATTTTATTTAAATTGTAGATTAAATAATTAACATAAAAACAAAAAACGTTTTATATTAAACCAAATAATTAAAATAAAAATGGCAAAAAATAACAAACAAAAAAACAATTAAATTAAATTCTTAATAAGATGACTATATTGAAAATAGCAAAATATATGTTTTATTAAAATTTTAAATATGATAATTAAAAAATTTAAAAAAAATCTGTGAAATTAATACTTCATTTAAATTCTAAATAAAATAATTAAAATAAAAACAGCAAAAAAATTAAAAAAAACATAATATAAAAATATTAAACAAAAGAAGTAAAATAAAAAAAGAAACACAAACATTTTATTTAATTCTAAATATAAAGTTTATACATAAAAGTATTTTTTCGAAAAGTATTTAATGAACAAAAAAGATTTGTTGCAATTTTAAAAAAACACTTTTTTGGCAAGTCCTTTTTTATGCACTAGCAAAAGTTATTGCAGGGTGAGCACACAAAGGCTGTAGCATGTTATAAGCATTTTTATTAGTTGTTTTTTAAAACACCTTATTTATGTGTGTGTGTTTATGTGTGTGTGTGTGTGCGTGTGTGTGTGCGTGCGTGTGTGTGTTTATGTGTGTGTGTGCGTGTGTGTGTGTGTGTGTGTGTGTGTGTGTGTGTGTGTGTGTGTGTGTGTGTGTGTGTGTGTGTGTGTGTGTGTGTGTGTGTGTGTATATATATATATATATATATATATATATATATATATATATATATATATATATATATATATTAGTTTATAATTTGTTTAAACAAAAACTAAAACTTATTATTAATTTGTATCATACTAAAACAATTACATTGCAAGAAAATTGGAATGGTAGTAATAATCTGAGAGCTTTTCAAGAAATGATCTTGGTTCAAGTATAAATGTAGGTAGTGTAACCTTAGATAAATCCATTCCTGGACGCACCTAAATAAAATAAAACATATTTAAACTGCAGTGACAAATACTAAAAAAAACATAACTTAACCTTGAATTTGTATGTAAAACTTTAACTTTGCTTAAAATGAATTATTGGGTTGGCTAAATAGTAACAAATAATTTTTCTTAAAACTTCTTGAAGTTGCCATAATTTGAGTATATATAGGGGATGAAACAGCATATCAAGTTAATTAAAATTTCTAAATTGCAACTTCTGTATATTCCAAATAATAGACAACATTAAATACACATGCAACACTGCCTGATTTATGAATTTTAGCTTTAGCCAAACAGCAATCAAAGCCACACAAAATGCAATTAGTCAGTATTCAGTGACTTAGGCAATGGCATTTGCTAAGCGTTGATTTTAACTCTTGTAATAGTAAATGTAATAGTGTAAAAGTTTGATCCAGCAGAGCAATCAAATTAAATATAAAGCATTTAAACTAAAGCAACCTGTGATTAACTAAGAACTGCTTTGCAAGCCAACAGATGCATTCATGGTAATTTTGAAAGTTTCACAAAATGAATAAAACCTTTGAGCTCAGTGTTTGGATAAACCAGTTAGCTACATACTGGTTTATCCAAATTTAATACTATAGCTACATAAATAATGTAATATAAGATTTGCTTCTACAAAATAATCTAAATAAAAATCTAACTTGTTTTAGCAGTGCCCAGAGTATACTCTTATTTTCTTCTTCCATTTCCTCAGCTGTCTCTCCACTCTAAAAGTTCATATTTTAGGAAATAAAAAAACAATTTTCCTAAATAAAATTGCATTGTTGCATATGAATTGGATACATACTGCATATGATCTTAAAGCTTTGTAACACAGTAGAAGAAAATTACATAGTGCGCTTTAGATGAAATTAAAAACAAAATTAAAAAGTAAAAAATGATTTAAAAAAATTTAAAAAATAATAATAAATAAAAAAATTATATCATGTGTATTTATCAAGTGTTTAAGAATAACTAATTACATAAAGTAGTATGCAAAATTACTTATTAACTTATGAATTTAACAAAAAATATTTTATAACTTAGGCACAAGGTTTTAATTAGAGAATAACCTTTTTTTTTATTTCCTAACATATTTACATCTAGTTTTTACAACTATAAGTTACCAAGTTTTACATTACTATTATAATATAAATCATAGTCAAGATGTCACTATGCTATATTACATATTCTATATTAAAAGATGTCATTATGCTATATTATAAAATGTCACTATGCTATATTATAAGATGTCACTATGCTATATTATAAGATGTCACTATGCTATATTATAAGATGTCACTATGCTATATTAGGACAGCTTAGGCTTTTCAGCCCTGATGAAAGTTATCGTTCAAAAACTTACCTAGAAAAAAATTGACATAAAACTCCCAATTCAAGAGAAGCTTATAAATATTGGATGTAATCATTTTTGTGTTACTATCACAATAAAAACCTAAGTATTAATAAATGCAACCTCAGTCTTGATAAATGTAACAACAGTCCTAATATGCAATATCATACAAAGGCAGGTTAATGTCAGAAAGAGCATACAAAATATTGCTTCAACTCTTCCACAATGTCAGAACATGCAAATGTATAAGAACGTGATATTTTGGAAACCCCTCCTAACCAAATAAGTGTGGAACCTTGGACATGAAAAAATAAAAATAATAAAAATGTGCTTTATAATTTATACTATATTCTGTTCTAAATGTTATTTTTTAATTAAATTCTGTTTTTTAATTAAGTCCTAATTTAAATTACTTTGTAGCAATTTTTAAAATCCAAAAATATGGAGAATACACTACAAGAAATGCATCTTATACTTCTTGGTGAATTAAAAAAAGGCTAAATTTGAGTTAATGGATTATTTTTTTATTACTATCATTTCAACAGAAAAAAACTTGTAAAAAATTTAAACCTGAACAAAGTTTTTATTAATTATAGATTAATAATTGCAGCATGTTAGATTAAATAATCCATATGCATCCAGCACACATTCAGTAATCTATATGCATCCAGCATACATTCAATAATCTATATGCATCCAGCATACATTCAGTAATCCATATGCATCCAGCATACATTCAGTAATCCATATGCATCCAGCATACATTCAGTAATCCATATGCATCCAGCATACATTCAGTAATCCATATGCATCCAGCATACATTCAGTAATCCATAATGAAACAACAAAATCTTATACCTAAAAATCTTTTTTACTTTATGTTCATTCTCAATTATTAGTTCTTTTCAATTCCTTTTTTTTCAAGCTCTTTTTATTTTATTTTTAATCTCCAGTAAAAAACAAATTTGAAAAATGGATGTTTAAATTTAACAAAACTTTTTTATATTTAAAATACAAAGTTAAAAAGACTAGGACAGTATATTTATGAAAAAAAAAAAGATTTAATTGGTTCAACAGTATATTTATGAAAAAAAAAATGAATTGGTTCAGCAAAAGTCTAAGATTTTTAATACAAAATCATCACCAGAAGCCTGTAATGCAAGGGGACATTAAAAAAAAAAAAAACTGAAGCAGTGAAATAACACAAGTAGCTAACACTAGCATCTTTTGTAAAAATCAGTTAATATGTCAAATTTTTGGTCGTTTCAATTAACAACATAAAAAAAATCTCTTCTCTAAAAAGAATAAAGGTTGTATTGCAAAACTCCTTTGTCTATTTCATGATTACCATTGATTTGAAAGTTAAATTTTTTATTTTTTTGCTACATGCTACATGTCATGATGTTATTTGTAAAAATATCTTAGTTTATTGCAACATGGTGAAAAAAAAAATTATTTAAATTATTTTATGTCATAATATATTGAATCTTTGAAAAGAAACAGTTGCTGAAAAAAACAAAGTAAAACTCAAGTAAATTTAGTTATTGATTACACGACTAGCAGGTCAGTTAGCATAACTACATTGACACTATGGCATAACTACATTGACACTATGGCATAACTACATTGTCACTGTTTAATTTCAAAAACCAAACATACTTTTTCAAATTTATGAACTAATATGACTTTTAGTGTATTTAAATTTTTTAAGCAATAATTGGGGAAAACAAACTATTAGTATAAAACCGCCATTAGTTACAAACCCCAGAAACTAAAAAATTAAATATTGTTGATAGCAACAAATTAACAATACTGTCTAAAAACATATTTAATGCATCAGAAAATGCTAAAAAATACATTTTATATAAAACACTATTTAAATGAAACATGTTTAAGATATTGTAATCTTGAAAATTGAACTTACCTCACCAAACTCCTCATTATCAACTAAATTTGAATATGTTGTTTCTTGTATTGGTGTTTGTTCGGTTGCACAAGCTATAAATGCTGTTAAAAAAAGAGTTTGTTGTAAAAATATTAATATTATTAAACAATCTAATGAAAGAAAATGTTACTTTGGCAACGGGGTCAATATTTTATGTCTGTAATTAAAGTTAAAAAAAAATTTAAATATTTAAAAAAATCTTTTAAAAAACCTTTTTTTTTGTAACACAAAAGAACATTGACATTCAGTATACAAGTTTTGGTTTAATTTATTAAAATCATTGATATTCAGGTTTTATTTATGATATTTTTTCAGCATTAATTTTGTAGTTTTAATAAAAATAATTGCAATAAAAATCAAATTTTTGTTTTTATAGAAAATATTAATCATAAATTTTTTTAATGACAAAAAGGTCATAAACCTGTTGTAATTATTTTTTTATTATTATTATTCATTTATGTTTTTTATTTATTTATTTATTACAATTTTAATAAAGAGCCTATCCCTAATTCTTTTTAGGCTAATCAAAAATAATTATTTCAGGAAGACACCGTTGGCTACCCTAGTTACCTAATTTGGTTACCCATAAAGCACCCCCCCCCCAAAAAAAAAAAAAAAAATTATTATTACCAATAAACTAAATAAAACTAGGCATGCTCAAAACTGAACATTGTTAAAATAACTTTGATTAAATTGAAGCTAAGATAAATTGACCATAACCAAGATAACAGCAAATTTGATTGAACTTCTGGCTAAATTAAAAATCAATCTATTTTTTCTTCTATCATCGATTCTAAGTTTTGTTATATTATCTGACAGATTATTATAATGGATAAAACACATACTAACTGAAAATCAATTCTTAACTTTAAAGAATATCCTTTTTTTTGACTAAAGACCATTTCTATTTAAAGATATTTTTAAAATTATGATTATTTTTGAATCAGTTTGATTTTTGTATAAGAAATATTTTTAAATTATACCCAATCAAAAGTAAACAAAAACTATTTTTAAATTTCAGTTTTAACCAATCAAAAAAAAAAAAAAAAAAAAAAATATATATATATATATATATATATATATATATATATATATATATATATATATATATATATATATATATATATATATATAAATTCAACCATTGCTATGAAGGTTTTAAACAAATAAAATTAAAACTTAAAATTTTATGTACCTTCTTCATCAGCAACTTCTTCTAGACTTGAATCATCAGATTTATCCTATTTAATAGTAAAATATTAATTAGAAAGAAATTATTAAATAAAAAGTGAAGCAAACTTTAAGTTTCTAACTTAGTTTCTTGTTAAGTTATTAACTTACCAATGTTGAATGTCTTAATTGATAAGCAATAAAAAATTTGCAGCTAGCTTTAAATACCTCACAAATTTAAAAAAAAAAGTTTTTAGTGCATTAATGGAATATTAGAGGCAATTTTCATTTTAGTAATAAAAAAAATCACAAATCTTTTATACCTTACAAATTCATTAGGTTGTTCTTTAATCGTGCAGTTTTATTTTTCAATCAATAAAGGTTAACATTACTTATGATCCTAATTTAGTCATGGTAACTAGATTGGACACACAAGGTATTTGTATTGCATTGCCAATTAAAGAAAAAGGGGTCAAAATATGTAAGGATAGACTTTTATGGATATTTTATGGATATGTGGCAATTTTATGCCACTTGCCATGAAATCACTGCATATCCTAATGCAAATTTATTTATATTCACTTAACTGTAAAGTTTGCATTAATATAAATAATTTGAATTAATAAAAATCATTTGCAACAAAATCTTTTGTATATTAGTTTGTAAATGCAATTTTTTTAGCATGATAGCTCTCATATTTAAATTCTCATAATATTCTTGCTCGGTGGGGCTTAAAATAAGTTACAGTTATAATTTACATTTTTTTAACAGAAGTAGAACAATTTTTGAACAGAAGTAACACAATTTATTTTTTTTAATTTAAATTTTTTATAATTTAACTTTTAACACTTATTTAATGTTTCTACTTTTTAATCAAGAAACAAAAAATATTTAACTATTAAAAAAACTTGTACTACCTTCTAAATCAGATGCTACTGAATCAGTTGCTACTGAAGGTAGACCTGTGTTTGACTTTCAGGAATAATTCTTGCTATACCACTGGGTATTACAGACGTCGCTGCAGTTTTCATTTAATTAAATTTATAATTATTGTAAGCGAAGGTTAAAACTCTTTAAATTTTTCAAATTTTAAAAAAAATTTCAAATTCAAGATTAATTAAAGAGAATTTTAGAAGACTAAAATTCTCATGTTTAAATTTCTTTCTAAAATAAATTTCTAAAAACAACTTGCATATTTATAGAAAACCCTATAAATATAATGAAACTATAAATAAAAAAAAAATAACAACATAGGATATAAATAGAAATATTTGTATGGCTAACTTTTGCAAATAAATATTTTTGTACATATAAGAAGTATTTATTAGTTTAGTAACTTGACTGAGTAACTTAACTGGTTGTTATAGAAACTGGTTGTTTTGATTTAGTTTATAGGTAAATTTACTGAGATGTACTTCATCCATTAAGAAAACCATACTAAATTTAATCTAATTTAATTAAATTTAACACAGAGATTCAAAGTAATTAAAATCCAAAAGCCTATTATGTAGAATGAGATTTTTCGCACAAGAAAAAAAGTAATCATACTTCTATTTAAAAGTATAATTACTTTTAAAAACTAATTGTTTGGTGCAAAAAGCAATCACAATTTGCGATATGCTTAATTCGAGCCCTGGTCTATATAACAAAATCGCCTCTAATAAATAACAAAGCAACTTCAAATATTTGATGGATGAACTAATTGCATTATAATATCTAAAAATTTAAGAATCGCTAAAAATTTCTAAAAGATGGAATGACTAGAGATAAAGCTGAATGACCAAAAATTCTAAATGATAAAAGAAGATTAAATAAGAAAAAAATAAATGACTAAAGATTGATTTGTCAAAAAATTTCAAAAAAAGAAAAAAATAAACTTCTTACATTTTCTTCATGTGTATCAGTATATTGAGCTAAATTAGAACAACAACAAAATATAATGATAATAATAATTAGAACAAAATCCAAAAAAATTAGAACAACAACAAAATATAATGATAATAAATTATACAAAAATAAGTTTTAAATAAAATTAAAATAACATACAAATAAAAATTGAGATTAAATCTGGTCAAAAAGAATTAAAAAATTTAATTTTTTATTAGTTAGAGTGGTCAAAAATTATGCAAGAAAAAAGTTTATACATAATCATTACCTGTGTACTAAACGCACAAAACAGAAAAATAAAAACTTTCTATTAACAGAAAAAATTAATTTGAAAAATTAATTTTCTTTTAACTTGAAAAATTAATTTTTTGTTTTAAATTAATATACATAAAAAATACAAAACAAATAATTATTAGAATGTTCTGGAAAGTAATAAAACTATTATAATTTAAAAAAACTATGATTTCTTTATACTTTTAAACGCAATACAAATGAATATTTTCTTTTTCTTTACATATATATGAGTATATATATGTAAAAAAAGAGAATGTGCATATATATATACATATATATATATACATATATATATATATATATATATATATATATATATATATATATATATATATATATATATATATATATATATAGCCCTTGGAATTAAGGTTGACATTGCCAAATGCTGAAAGGGTTAGAGGTCGGCAAAAAATTGCCAACCTTGTTTTTATGTTTTATTGTAACTTAAACCCCTTTGTGTCAAATTTTTGCCAATCTCTAACAGTTTACTTCTGAGGGTTTTATGTGTGTGTGTGTGTGTGTGTGTATATATATATATATATATATATATATATATATATATATATATATATACACAACCATGGGAATTAAACTGTTAGAGGTCGGCATCAGGTTGGCAAAAAAAAATTAATACAAAGGGGTATGAGAATTTTTGAGTCTATTGAAATATAATATATATTCAATATTATATGGCAGTCTTTTTAATTTTTTTTTTTTCATTGATTCTGATTAACTCCTAACACAGTTGCTACAAGCAACTACTATTAAGTTGGGAGTTATAGAGCAAGGAAGCAGTTGACTGAAGACTTAAAAAGTTGCAGATTGTATGAGTCAGGAAAACATGAAGGTGGGAGAGAGTTCAAAAGGGTTAAAGTGCGGGAAAAAAACTAGACAAGTAAAAGTTTTAAGAGCATGCTAGATACAGACAGATGCAGTAAATGAGTAAGACTTTCCTCATTGACAAGTCAATTGAGGATGAGTTTTAGTTGATGAAGCTAGAGATGATAGCTCCTTTGTGCAGCAATCATGATAGAATTTGAAGAAAAGAGTGAAAATTATAAATAGGTAAACAATATTTGTTTACCTATTTATAATTTTCTTCAGCAAAAACTGGCATAAGTGAAATTTAAAAAAGTAAAAACTGGCATAAGTGAAATTTAAAAAAGTTATTAAAAATGAAATTTAACTACTAATCTGAGAGGAAATAATGGTGATATTAATGCGGTAGTGGTGTAGTGTTAAAGCGCTTAATTCATAATCAATAAACAATAAGTTCCGAGTTCGATCCCCACCACATCCCTGGTAGTACCGCGCCCAACTTGTTTCTCCGTGCAGTGACTTTGTTCATTAAGGTTTGTGTTTTGAAGCTATAGAGTTGAGAGAGGGTTACAACTAAAGTAGCCTCCTTCACTGTAGTGGCCTTCATGGCCTTGGAAGTGGATTGAAATTTAAAATTGAATAGTTTCATAAATAAATAAATAAAAATTTTATTGAATATAATACATTCAACTTACATGTAAAACTATCAGCTCCTTGAGATAGCAAATTATTTTCATCTCCTCCATATAAATCACTGTGACTAAATATAAAAAGATTTTATAAAGTTATAAAAAAAAGATTACAACTTTAAGATATATTTTTTTATTATCTTAATAATAAAGAAAGATACAGAGAGACAGAGAGATTTATAGGATTTTTTTATAAATATTTTTAAATCAAAATAAAAAACAATATATATATATATATATATATATATATATATATATATATACAAGGCGCAACAAATTTTTTTTTTTTTTAAATAAACAACAACATTCCTTTCTTTATTTATTGATGAACGCCTAATTTAAAAGGTATGTCATGTAATAGGGCCGTCATAAATATGCCAGTTTTATTTTCAATTCTTTCAATTTTAAGTTTTTTTATTCAAATAATTTTTCATTAAATTATAAGGGGATTTTATTTTCAAATAACTTTTATTCTAGTTAATAAGATATATAATAATTAGATATATCAAAGTTGCTTATTGAATTTTATCAATTTTTTATTATTTCAAAACAATTCTTTGCGCATTTGCTAAGCAAATTGCAAGCAAATTGCAATCAAATTGCAATTTGCAAAGAAAGTGCACGCAAATTAATAATAACTTATATGCAATAACATTATTATGACTGTAAACTATCCATTAATACAAAATAGTAAATTTTTCTCAATTTAGTTTGTTAAATTTATTTACTTATAAAAAAAATATATAAACGTGAATAAACTTTAAAAAAAAGAAACTAAAAATAAAATAAAAGTTCTTTTGACATTTTAAAACATTTAAAAATAATAATATAATATTAAGTATTTAATAAGTTATTATTAAATATTATATTAAATATTATTAAGTTATTATTAAATATTATATTATTAAATTAAATATTATATAATTGTATTTATAATAATATTAAGTATTTAATAATAAAATATCATATTATTGGTGTTGTTAAACGCACAGTAAAAAATGAAAACTAAAATAAACATAATAGTTCTATATATTCTATTAAATTATATATATTTCTGCATAACTTCAAAAAAATTTTCAAAACTTTAAAAAGGGCTTTAATTTAATGATAATAAGAAAATAAAAAAAAAGCACGCTTTTAAAGAAAGCAATAATTTAGCGTGGTTCCTTTGAAAGTAATTGCTAATGCATTCATTTTAACTAAAATTTCCAATGCTTTTGTAAACACATGTAAGAACAGTGCTAAAACATAATTACTTCTGTTGCATACTTAATTATTAAACTTAAAAGTAACGCTACTGAAGCATGGTTTCTTTTAAAGTCGTTGAAAATATGTTTTAAATTTTAGTAACTTATTGTTTTTTTGTAATAAATATGTTTATTATCACACAACTATTTAGAAAAAAAATTGCTCAAGTTGTGCGTTCATGTTCATTTTTAAAAATTTTAAGCGAATGCCAATGTTTGCTTAAGTAAAAGTAAGGAAACGTGATGCTTGTTTTTCTGTCTTTTTTAACAAAAGTTCGCACGTTCGTCAATTTGTCGTGCCCTGATAATTTATATATATATATATATATATATATATATATATATATATATATATATATATATATATATATATATATATATATATATATAAACCTCAGAATTAGGGTCGGCATTGTCAAATGCCGAGAAAGTGAAAGTGTTTGAGATCGGCAAAAAATGGTTAGACCTTTGTATCAAATAATTTTTGCCAACCTGATGCAGATTTCAAAAGGTATGAGTTCGGCAAATTATTGCCGACCTCATTTTTCCTAATTCCGAGGGTGGATATATATGTGTGTATATATATATATATATATATATATATATATATATATATATATATATATATATATATATATATATATATATATATATATATATATATACTATATATATGTATATATATATATATATATATATATATATATATATATATATATATATATATATATATGTATATATATATGTATATATATATATATATATACATATATATGTATATATATATATATATATATATATATATATATATATATATATATATATATATATATATATATGTATATATATATATATGTATATATAATGGAATCAGGAGTTAGAAAATGGTGAGCACGATAAAGTAAAACAATCTTAGCAGATACTAATTTAGCAATCGATTATATATAGTTTCCATGAGATCAGTAGTGAACAATAACCCAAGAATATGTAAAGAAGAAAACTCAGAGAGAGGCTTGCAATTTATTAAGAGAGAAATGTTGTCAATATTGCAATAGTTGTTTGCAGTAAATAACTAAAATTTGGTAGAGTTGAAATTCACAAGCCACTCTAAGCTCCAAATCTAAGCTGTTACAGAAGTGAGCTCAGATTTAATATCAGCTGCTTGTTCTAAGCAACTATACTCCTGTCTTGACTTTTTGTCAAGACAGGAGTATAAAGTTGAGTTATCAGCAAAAAGAGCTACTTTAGATGTAAGGTTGTAGGAAAGATCAATAAGGTAGATAAGAAACAAAACAGGATGAAGGATAGAACCTAGGTACCCTAAAAGTTACTGGAAATAAAGAAGAGTGTTGGCCTTTGAGGATGACTTTAATAAAGCAGTTAAATAAACGATTTTATAATCTCAAAAACTTTCCCAGATACAGCATAGAAAGCAAGCTTATGGAGAAGCATGCCAAACTTAGTCAAAATGTCAAATATTTGTCAAACTACCTGTTTTTTTGATGAATTAATTAGAGGTTACTACTCTGAAAAATATGTGAAATTACGCGTGCTAAAGTATTAGCGCACTCATAATAATGTATTAGTACAATTTTTTACTGCCTTTGAGAAAAACATTTTTGGTTAATTTTTGTTAATTACTCTCTGCTGATTAATATATAAATATAAGAAGCTTAAGTTGTCAATAAAAATATAAGAAGCTTAAGTTGTCAATAAAAAATATAAGAAGCTTAAGTTGTTAATAAAAAATATAAGAAGCTTAAGTTGTCAATAAAAAATATAAGAAGCTTAAGTTGTCAATAAAAAATATAAGAAGCTTAAGTTGTCAATAAAAAATATAAGAAGCTTAAGTTGTCAATAAAAAATATAAGAAGCTTAAGTTGTCAATAAAAAATATAAGAAGCTTAAGTTGTCAATAAAAAATATAAGAAGCTTAAGTTGTCAATAAAAAATATAAGAAGCTTAAGTTGTCAATAAAAAATATAAGAAGCTTAAGTTGTCAATAAAAAATATAAGAAGCTTAAGTTGTCAATAAAAAATATAAGAAGCTTAAGTTGTCAATAAAAAATATAAGAAGCTTAAGTTGAAATACAGCTAGTTAAAACTTTAAAAT